CCCCCATTGCCTAAGTGCCTTTTGAAATATAAGGGACATCTGCAGAGGGCCCTGATTGAGAGGTGCTGTTGAGAAGGCTCCAGCCTGGAGGGGAGTCTCTGGTTCTGGGCACTGACTGACTATGCAGATAATGACCCAGGGAGGCCTGGCAAGGCTGAGGGCAGGAGGGGCTGGGGCAGGGGAAGGCCTGGGCATCCGCTGGAGGCTCTCTTGGTGGGTGTCCTGTCCTTGTGGCAGAGGCGGGAGCCCCTGAGAACCTGCGGCATCACCCACCCTCCACGCCAACTCAGCCCAGGGCAAAGGCAGCAGGCGCGCCTTGCAGATGCTGCAGTCCGCTGTATGTGTGTGGGTACGGGGGAGGGGGGAGGCTGGGAGTGGGGACAGGATGGGTGTCGGCCAGCACCTCCAACACCTCCTAATTTGCATTACCACTGACACCCTTCTTGACCAAGAAAATGGAGCCAGAAATAACAAGTTGGGGAGGTGATTCCCTGGGGGGCCTTTGAGGCTCTTTTCCTTGCCTCCAACACTCCCAGTGCTGGAGGGCAGGAGGACAGATCCACAGCCGGCCCCTAGCTGGGGAAAGGCACCTACTAGCACTCCTCCCTCCTCGGATTGGGCAGACACGCCATCCCGGCCTCCCACTTCCCTTCACCCCAAACACCCCAGCCCTGCCCCTTCCCTTTTTTGGAGCCTACTCCACCCACCCTTCCCTCCTCTGGGAACCCTCTCCCTGGAGCCTCTCTCACAGCTGTGAGCACCCCAGCTCTGCCCAGCTGGGGAACTGTTCCCTTCAGTCCGTCCTGCTTCCCCCCCATCAGACTGGGCATTTCCCAGGACAGGGCCAGAACGGCCCCTGTCAACCTAGGAGCCGCTCAAGGGAACATTGTGCATGAGAAATAATCCAAACAATAGCAGGAGAGCTTGTGAGTAGATTCTAGAAATGGCATGTGTAAGACCCTGACCCTAGGGCTATAGGGTGAGCGAGAGAAGGGACTCCCTGCTCAGTTAGAAGCCTCTGTCCACCTTACTTGGAAGTATTGCCAAGTGTCAGGCCTCTCCCTTGTGAGATCCTTGGAGAAAAGAACCAGGACTGCTCCATTTTGACATATTTCTCCTCTGCCCCAGTGACCATCTTACAGACCTCTCCAAACACATTTGGTGCTCAATTTATGTGCATTGAATTCACTCCTGTCCCGAAGAGGGCAGGGAATGATGTGGTAGCCACAGCTGGGAGATGGGAGATGGTGAAGGAGAGAGGGGGCTCCCTTTCTGCCAGAGGGGTCCTGGGACCTAGAAGAGCAAATGGTGAGGGTGGAGGCAGAGCAGAAGGGGCCTGGCAGGGAAACCAGGTCACGAGAGACAGTGGAGGGAGCTGTGAACACACTGTGGGAAGGAGCGACGAATGAGCTGAGAACTTCCCCTACTCCCCCCTCCAGAGATGCTATTTTGGAGGGAGAGAATATATGCAGTGCAGGGGTTGGGGGGAGTATGCCAGCTTCCACAGAGGTCAGTGGAACCACCTGCTGCCTCCACTCTCCCAGCCAGCCATCCTCACTGGCCCGGGAACCACCCCACCCCCAGCACTTCCCTCCCTACTGGGAAAATCTTGCTCTCTTGAGCACAGGAGGAGAAAGAAAGGGCTTGAAGATTTGCAGTTGGCCTCTTGATACCTGCTTGTGGGTCCCCTGGGTCCTCAGACCTAGGAAGAAGCCTCTATTTCAATTACTTCCTTGGAATGAAAATGTAGAGGGTACCGTGGGGTGTGGGGGGAGGCTGTCACAGCATACAGCACAGGGGGCGTGAGCACTTTTGCCCTCAACTCCATACATAGGCATTTCACATGGATTCCTCCCTTTGGCATCACATTTAGGGACCAAATTTTGTGTTAAAAGGGGCCAGAGAGGAAGGCGCTTTCGGGGCCAGCTGGGCTCACCCACAGGAAGTCCAGCACCTCCGAGTGGAAGCCCATCTTGCCCATTTGGGCCAAGGAGGCTGGACAGAGGTTGGTGTCAAGTAGAGCATTGCTTGGCATGAAGGGAAATTCCTGTGCCCCAGCTCAACCCCCCTGAGGGGCCCTGACTCATTTTGGGATGAAGGCTCCAATGCCCTGCGGGTTTCTGTGGCGGCTGGGGGCAGGGGGCGGGCAGGGCATGCAGAGAGCGCTGGGGACTAGGGGAGACTTTTGTTTTCGTTTTTGGAGCTTGGCTCCTTGTCTGCCTGAGAGCCCAGCTTCATCTGAAGGAGTAAGGTTGGCTGATATCGGAAGAAGCTGCTGGGCGCGGCTGCCGTAGAAGGAACATTAGGTTAGACTTTAGGAAGAACTTCCTGTGAAGACACTGGGGCACATTTCCCAGATGAGCCGAGGGGTC